TTAATTGATGGACAGTTGAGTGACCAGACTGAAAACCTGATTGATACTTATACAATAATCGATTTGCATGAAAATAGTTGTACAGACGTTTAAACATCACTTTTCAAACACCTTGCCCACATAATAACTGATCAAGGATATAGGCCGATAGTTAGAGGCCATTGAGGGATCACCCTTTTAAATAGGGCATTACATTTGCTTCTTTCCACACACTTGATATCTACTACTTTTAATGACTGATTAAATAACATGCACAGTGGGATACTTATTGAATGTACAACATTTTAAGAAAACTTATGACTGATTCTGTCCGGGCCAGAAGCTTTTTAAGATGTAAACATTTGATTATATCGGACACTTCATTTGCATCAATTGTTACACTATCTAAAACAGAATCAGTGCGTTTGTCAAAGAATGGCATATCTGTGTTTTCTTCATCAATACTAGATATAGACTGAAAATACTGATTAAGTTTCTCTGCTTTCTGCATATCAGTAAATAACGTTGGGTTTTCATCTGCATCATTTGTCTTAAAGACGGAATGCAAGTGACTGATCCTGAATCATTAATCAAAACCGAAGTAATTTCCAATAGGAATTTTATTACTAGAATACAGATCAAGTAAAAATCGTTTGTGAGACTGGCATAAAATGAATCCTTTGCATAACATTTCATATTATTTACTTTATTTCTTTGTTTCTTATAAGCCAAAATATGTACTAGACGGTTTGTCTTTTGGGCTTTTTTTCTCATTCTATTTCTTTTTCTACATTCTCTCCGAAGTTCTGAATTAAACCAAGGTTTATCAGTTGGTCGAATGGTGACCGTTCTAGAAGGAATACACACAAATATAAAACGGTTGAGATGCTTATAAAACAGTGCACAGGCTTCATTAACATTCCTGCAACTACTAAATATGTTATACCAATTTGTCTCATTAATCATAGCATTGAGTTTCTCATAGTCACCTCTTTCATAACATAATACGTTTCTTTTGTATAGGCTAACCTGGTATTTACATGAGCATCAACGGTGATATACGTACCTTTGTGGTCACTTATACTTTTACATAAATCTACAACACCACTGTTCAAAAACATCAACATCTTCAGATATAATGATGGGATCAAGCAGTGTGCTCGTTGTTTTTGTTACTCTCGTTGGGTCTTTAATAACATTTTTCAGATTTTTTCTAGCTATTAAATCATGCAGATACGTGTTATTATTGGACAAAAGGTTTGCGTTTAGATCGCCAACAACGGTAATTTTACTCGAGATATCTAATGCAGTCTCAATGCTACTATCAAGCCGACTCCAGTATTCTAAACCTTGGTATTGTGGTCTGTAGGTGACACATAACACAAGCGGCTTTTGTGGGATAAATACTTTAACCCATATAGATTCATCACAGTGATTTTCAAGATGACATAATCTCGTAAAACAGAGAGCGTGATTAATATACATGATAACTCCACCACCTTTAAACAAACAACCTTTAAATCGTATAATAGTGTAAAACACTCGTGGTTTCAATACAGCATACTGCATAGGTTTCTGCCAACAAATGATTTGCTAACAAAAATTAAATATAAGATTCCAACACATGCACATTTTGCTAATCCGAGGAAGAATCAATTCTATTTTTTGACTGTAAAGTCATAAAAACTATTTGGAAGAAAATAGAAGAATGGATATTCGAAAAAACAGGGTCAAATATTATCTTTTCAAGGAAAAATATTATTCTAGGATATTGTGAAAAGAGAAACCATGCTCTGAATTTGATAATAACAGTAGTGAAATATAATATATACAAAATGAAACAAAGAGATAAAAAGACCAAATGTGAACTACATTATAGAAGACGTAAAGACAACATATTATGCTGAACGTTTTAATGCCTATTCAAATTGCAAATATGACAGCTTCACAAAATTTCGGTCACTACGTCACAATCTGTTCTGTTAACCTAGCGCTATATATAATGTACTGCTATTATATTTCAAGTACCTATTCATTTCCACCTGAATACACATTTGCCTGTAAATCGACTTTGTATATATTTTGCGAATCGTGTTTATACCAACCCGTTATGTAATGAACTGTATGACCTGGATGTATGGAGAATCAAAAATAAAAAATCATAAAAAACGAAAACACCAGTGTTCCCATAAATTCCTTCTTGTTTTGGGGATCTGGGAATTTTTAAATAGAACTCATGTTCCCTTGTTCGAGCTGCACCAGACTTTGTCCTATATTGATGAGAGCGACTCTAAACAACAAACCAGCCCGCTACCTTGTGTCAGTGGGTAATCGAGACTGTTGACGTTATATATTGTGAATATCTGATCTTTGATAACGCCGCAGTAAGCAATAGTCCAACTGTAAACACACGCGCACACGCACACACACACACACACACACACACACACACACACACACACACACACACCACCCAAAAAAAAGGATAAAAAAAAGAGGAACTCGAGTTTCCATTGGAGGTAGCACTTTGGTTTGAAACAAAATGTTTCACCTTCCAAATTTATTCAGGTGTTGGATGGGTTAACCAGAATTTCTTCCATGTTGAAAATTTCCATTTGGGCTTTAAATCCATCCCTACACTGTACCCAAGGAAATTGAAGTCTGTACAAACACACTGGCGGTCACTGGCAAACGTGATTTTATGCTGCTGCTGTATATGCAGGCAACATGAAGGTTGGTGTTTTGCATCACGTTTCTAAGATATGGTGTCTGTATATATTTGATTACTAGATTTGTACGTATTGCTTACTTGGTCCATTTCGATTTTAGGCAAGCAATGGATAGTTTATCGGTAGTCGTGTTATTTCCAGGGGCGTAGCTTCCATTAAGAAAATAAGCCCGAGCTTACACACGATTGTTCGTTCCTAAAACGGTTTGGCAAGCCATCAATACTATCTAAATATAAAGCTTGGCAACCCATCGGGCTTACACGAAGTATTGGCTTGGTACGCGCCTGATTTCCTCCATCATTGAGTTTAGTTCATGCTGATGATGTGTCATTGTCACTTGTCACGTCCTCTAATCTATGAAGCAACATCTGAAACCCTCCTGTACAATATACCTACCTTCCAGGCGTCTGTTGTGCTCTACGTGTCTGCATGCATACTGGCGGAAGCCGAACTCGGTTCTAGGAACGGTACATCACTTCTCATATCATTGTGTCAAAATACTTCCAGATTTGCTAGATTTATTTTATTAAAGCAACTGCAAAGGGCAAGTTAAAAGCCAATAACATGGACACCTTACACACAATAAAAGCAAAAACAGTTTGGCTTGAAAACATATTTCTGCTCTCGAAAAGGTTTCACCTACCTTGAATTTCTTCCTTGTTGATAATTTCTGTTTCGGTGTCCACTTCCACACTGAGTATACCAAAGGAAACAGTGGAAGCCGCTGGTTGACAACGCCTGGTGATTTTATTTATATTGCCACAGTACATGAGGGGAACATGAAGGTTGGTGCTTTACATTATCTTTCTAAGATATTGTGTCTGTTTATATTTGATTACTAGATTACCAGATGGCTTGCTTGATCATTTCGATTTTAGACAAGCAATGGATAGTAGTGGTGCTGTGTGAAATTAACAACTTTGAACAACCTGTTATCTTCACCATCGTCTTGCTAAGTTCATGCTGATGATGTGTCATTGTCACTTGTCACTTGTCCTCTAATCTATGAAGCAACATGTGAAACCCTCAAGTAAAATATACTAACCTTTCAGGCGACTGTTGTGCTCTACGTGTCTGCATGCATACTGGCGGAAGCCGAACTCGGTTCTGGGAAAGGTATATCACTTATCATTATGTCAAAATACTTCCAGATTTGCTAGATTTATCTTATTAATGCAACTGTAAAGGGCAAAGTCATAACAGTAAAATTAAAGTAATACTAACTCTGGCAGTTTTCTCTCTTTGTTCAACGTCTCCCATAGGAATGACGCCTCTTAAATGTAAGTCTGTGCACAAAAAATCCGACTTTGTTTTGTTATTTCAGATGATACAAAATGTCAGGATAAACATTCTTGGTGTAAGTCCGCCAGCTGTGGCAGCCCTGGTATTGCGGACAGCTGCCCGATGACATGTGGACACTGTAATACCACAGGTTAATAACGTTCCTATATTTCTCTATCAGATTCAATACAGCCACCGAATGTACACCTGCTAGCAGCACACCAGTCATTGTCGGTTTCACCGAAGTGGTATGTTTCGACGACATAAGTTAGTTTGGGATTTATAAGCATGTTGATGTCACACAGTTTGACGCGAAGTCATCCATTCACAGCTGTCCCTACAGCACAGTGAATTTTACATCCTTTCACTTCGTAATGATTTATGTGTAAGGAGATTACTTACACGCTGAACTCTTAAAACACTCCATTCTTCTATCTCAAATAAACAAGGCAAGTCACCTCGAATAAATTCATAGAATCCTTTGCATCACAATGTTACTTCGGGCGTCTATTCATTGTTAAAATATTCAAATATTTCTTTGCTGCAAAATCACTTACAGGATACTATGAAAATCCCTCTATTGTCTATTCCCTCTATTGTCAAATGCTTCTATAGTGCATCAAATAAATTTCAGTTCCAATTCATACCATACTAACATCAGTAGTAACCTGTATCCTCAAATATGTGTAAAGTCTGAACACCTTTCATGAGAATATTTGTTTCCGACCAAATTGATTGAAATATATGCTAACTTTCCTTTGTCAGGATTAACAAATCTGCAGGTATAAGGCCGAGTGGAATATATGCTGACAATTCTCTGACAAGATGAAATCCTCTGTAGGTATAAATCGCTTCGGAGGCCTCGTCTGTCGAGCCACAGATTGTCCATAAACGTTCTGACGTAGCTAACATAAATAGTTATTCACAATTTATTTATTCAAATACAATATTATGTAAAACGTCGTCTGACTTGAACTGGTTTAATACAAGGACGATTCTTTTATTCAGTGAACTGTGAACGTGGACAGTACTGGAATGGCAGCAGCTGCGAGGAATGCTGGGATGGAATGCCTCCTGAGTACAGCGGGAAGTGTCCTTGTACAATACCTGGGAGATGGGGAGTAAACTGTGAACATACGTGCAACAAATGGTGTTTGGATGGTATTTGTCACCCCATTTCTGGTGAATGTGCAAACTGTCCACAGAACAGATATGATCAGAAGTGCGACAAAACATGTGACAACTGTGGTAACTGTACAGACACACCCTCAAACTGTCACCGCACAAATGGAACCTGTCTGTGTGGATGTAACCCTGGATTCTATGGACGTGAATGTGGACAGCGATGCAACAGTAACTGTAGATTGAAGTCATGTAACTTCTCTGGAATCTGCATTAATGGTTGTAAGGAAGGATATTTCGGACCAAAATGTGATAAAATATGTGGAGAATGTGTGGATAAATCTTGTTCAAGAATAGGTAAATGTTTAAAAGGTTGCAACAGTGGATGGCATGGTAAGGAATGCTGCACACTCTGCAGTAACAACTGTGAACATTCAAACTGCCATCAGAACGGAACATGCATGGAGTGCTTGGATGGTTTTCATGGCGACCAATGCAAGAAAAACTGTTCTGCTGGATGTGCCACGAAAGGGTGTAACAGGGATGGAAGCTGTCAATGCAGAAAGGGATATTTTGGCCACCAGTGTCGTAATACCTGCAGTGTAAATTGTCTCAATACAAGTTGTAGTCAGACATCTGGGGAATGTGAGTATGGTTGTGTACTGGGATGGTATGGACCGACGTGTAGTACCAGATGTCCTGACAACTGTGCTGCTGGTGCCTGCAACAGATACGATGGCTCATGTTTGTCTTGTAGGGAGAGATTCAGGGGGACATATTGTAACATGTCCTGTCCTCGACATTGTGTTGAATGTGACCAGAATACCAGCAACTGTATGTCGTGTGAGCATGGTTATTTCGGAAACACCTGTGAGGAAAAGTGCAACGGTTGTCTTAATGGGAGTTGTAACATCACAGATGGATTCTGTATGGACGGATGTAAACCAAGCCTACATGGGCGAGAATGTCAGTCCAATTGCAGCAGAAACTGTTTGAAGCAGCATGATGTCATATTGTGTTTTCAAAGTAACGGCACCTGTGTCAATGGTTGTCGCAGCGGGTGGTGCATGGCAGAATGCAACGAAAGTGCGTGCGGTGAAAGCCCTAGTTCCGATGTGACACGTGAGAACCATATATTCAGAATATCATAAATAGATGCAAGGAATGACAGACAAGCGTTCAGTACTCCTTCACATACAAAGTGTTCAGACGACCACTAAAAATATATTCAGTTCCCTAGACATGATAATGCACGATAGAAGAAAGCAATAATATTTATGTTAAAACTCCTTATACTGTATGTTAAAAAGTCCTACTTTACTTTACTGATGAAGAGTAATCCCAAATGTATGTATGAGTAACAGTTCAGATTTGTATTAATATGCTGACATTGTTACGTGAATTATTGTATATTTCTTTTATCATTAAATATAGAAGTACATTTACATACTGGTTTGAATTGTAGCACTATTATTCTGTCAAAGATTTGTTTCGATCGAGAGGATACTATTAGCCAAAACGTAGGTCAAGACTGTCATTCCTGGTATCTGCCATTGCACACCAATATGTCATGCACCATTGTCGCCGGTTCAAAAGCAATCTTTAGATATAATGTATATTGTTTAAATAGCGATGGGCCCGAAACGATCTATTTGATATATACATTTATTTCAAAACAGATATATTGATATCATCTTTGTATCACGCTAACTATCCATAGTGACATATGCTATATCAGACACACGTAAAGCGTAGATTGCCACAGGTCACATATTGCACGTTTTTGTGCGGAAGTTGGGTCAGGTTTTGATGGAAATAATGTTTATATTTCCTTTAAGCGAACTAGGCAGGTCCTTCCATTATTAATTAACTTAATGTTAAGGATAAATTTTATGAGAAATATTGAGTCAGTTTTGTGATGATTGACAAAAACATTGATTTATTGCCTTTGGACAAACGAAGTTTAGACATAATACATATGTTTTGTGCATTTATAATGATGCAATGAGAGCATTTATCTTTTTTTGTGGTATTTCATTAATCTGTTGAGTAACTCTACAAATGAAACGTGAACCTATTACTTACTTATTGCCGCGCCGGATTCGCACCCGAGTAAACAGGCATATTGAGTAATCATTCGAAAATAGAATTATCAATTTCTTTCACTTTTGAACTTTTATATGTTTTAGCCGTAAGGAAACATTGTACTATCTGAGTGTCGGTGTGCAATGCTGTTCCAATTGCGTAGATCGGTGCTAATGCTGTTGATCACTGGGTTGTCTGGTCCAGAGTCGATTATTTACAGACCGCCGCCATATAGCTGGAATATTGCTGAATGCGGTGTAAAACTAAACTCATTCACTCACTCACTAAAATTTTGCAACTGTTATCCGATCATGCTGACTTGCGCATGTTACTTAATTTCTCTACATTTCTAACGCTCAGAGACAATTTACAAATGACGTCAGTTAAATATCACGCTACGAATTGAGCCTTCAGGGATTTCATTGCAAAGCAAACGACGAGACGCTGCTCTTTTACCTTCTCTTTTTTGCTTTATATGTACGGTCGTATGGGCGATTGACTCTCATCTCTGATTCAAGGTGTTTCAAGGTTTCAGAAGGGCGACAAACTGACATTAGGTCGTTAGCACACACCAAACACGACAGTTTAAGCCGTGATTATTAAAATAAAAATGGCACCAGTTTCTGTGGTAGGTGGAAATGTCACCAGGTTCGCCCCTCAAGAAGACATGTTTACGAAATATGGATGTCTTTAGTGTAGTTTATTAAATCTAAGAAAATTAACTTGTGTAAAAGTCCTTATTCCCAACTTTGAATAAGCATTTGTACATGTAGTCCAACAGAATAAAAATTTTCAAAATATATTGATATTATTGGAAATATTAAGAGAAATCCGAAAACATGCAAATATTAAATTGGCGGAATCTATGTCAAAATGCGAGGCACACAACTATTCAATGGTAAATGTTACGGAATGGAAACATTATCTACTGCCATTCCATGGGAAGAAATAAATAACTTTTGTGGATATTATGGTATATTTCATATCGTATATTACAGCAACAGTTGTCGCTTGGCTGCTGGCTCTGTTTGTGACCATCATCATTCTTCTTTCTATGGCTCTATATGCCATAAAAAGGTAGGTACTACAAACATCATAATCTATGTTATTTCTTATCATGCAAGACCGTTAACATATTGGAATATTGCTGAGTGCAGCTTTAAACAGCAAGAAAACAATCCTATCTGACTTGCAAATAGCAACATGATTTCATTATTCATGAAGTGTGTCATAGAAACCAGTTTTTCTGAGATTTCTCAGTTGCTCATATTGACTGTTATGTTTTCTCCTTTCAGGAATAAACTTAACAATATCCTGAAATGGAGATACATTGTCGGCCATCCTGGAAGCAGCCCGACTCCAATGTCATTGATCAACCCTTCGTATCAGTCAACACCCAGAGGTAACTGAGAAGTTGTGAATACACACTGAATCATTGAATCAGAAACATTTGGTAGCTTAAACATCATACCATCATTATAAATCTTGAGTGCTGAGTGCTCCACAAGAGTGCTTAGTGTCATGACTGACTGACTGACTGAGTTTGGTTTTACGCCGCTTTTAGCAATATTCCAGCAACATCACGGCGGGGGACACCAGAAATGGGCTTCACACATTGTACCCATGTGGGGATTCGAACCCGGGTCTTCGGCGTGATGAGCCAACGCTTTAACCATTAGGCTACCCCACCGCCCCACATTAGTGTCATGTGTGAAGTGGGACAATGTCACTGTATAATGTGGGTACTCGTAGTCGAGATTTTGTACAAAGTAGGCGCTTGGTTTGAAACATTTAAATGAATGAATTGTTAAAACCCCACATTGTGTTCCAGGTGTTGCAACACCTGAGAACTCTGACTATCAGGAGTTACAGCCCTTGACAAGTGCAGACGTCGAGGACGATTACAGCACAGCGAGACATTCAGGATTTGCCTTCACCCACCAATCTGCATCCGCTCACCTGATCTCACCCAGAGAGTCATGTCATGATGGTGACCTTGGTCCTCCTGCGTGTCACGTAACGGACAAGTCAAACCTAGTAGCTATGTGGTCAACAGAGGTGATGGTGCAAGGCCTGCGACTCTACGTTGAACAGATGAAGAGAAGGGGTGGTTTCACAGAGCAGTGTTATGTATGGTCATGGCTGATTGTATTTGCATGTAGGGTATACCCAGCTGTCATTTAAGGTGTTTTAGCATTTACGAATACGTTCCTATCTTTCCTAGATCCAAGTTTCAATTAGATATCAATTCACCTTTTGGTGCCTAACAACCACATAAGTTCTTAGCGAGTGATGGATATCCGATTATTTCATTAATTTTCTTTCTAGACCCACGATAATCTTCCATACACACGAGTGCGTTTGACCTACAAAGGATTTTAGCATGGGTTGATGAATTCTAAGTCTGATATATAAATTTGTGATGTTAAAGGAACTTCCGTGTGGCAAACTTGGGCCGTGTGACGAAGCCGAATTGCCAGAAAATGTTTGCAAAAACAGATATAGAAACATACTGCCATGTAAGTATATATAGACGAGTTAGTTACAATACCATCATACCGCCACAGCGGTTCAGGAAGATCTATATTTGTAGATTATAGTTCAGCTGTAGTGGATATTGGTGTGTTTATAACGTTTAGATCATTTCTAATCCAATGCAATATAATCTTTGATGTTACCGAAGTGTATATCACTCTCGTAGTTGTGGTACCAGTGGAACAGGACATGCTTATCCTTTTCGCGAACACCCGGTGTCATCAGTAATCCTTTCCCGTAATTCCAAACTTTCAGTGATCTCTTGTTTAAGTGGCATAGAACTCTCCTTGTTGTTTCAGTGATCTATGTATATATCATATAATAGTATCTATTTTCAAAGGTGTATTGCCTCTTGGCACCATATAATCTGCTTTGGCAGATAAAAGAGTCTAGTCATTCTTGAATGTTGTATATTGTATATTTTGTGACAAAGCTATGTTTTCCTTTTTTCCAGATGATCATTGCAGAGTCAAACTTTCCCCTATCCCCAACATCCGTAGATCCGACTACATCAACGCTAGCTACATAAATGTAAGTTATCATTATGGCAGCGACATTATTATTGAACTATCCTGGAAAATAGATTATAAACTGATAACTTTTAGCTTCAGTATTACGCCAATCATCAAAGACTAAATTGTTCAACACCTGTCCAGATTATTCCCAATCCCCGTGAAGACATAATTTATGTTTAGTCACCCAAGCTTGTCTTAAGACACGTCCAAATCGACTTCTCAGGGTCACAGCCTTGGTTGATGCATGTCATCGTAACCCCAATACGTACATCGATGTTCAAATCTGTTATGGGTGTAGGTAAGGCATATTACAGAACAGACCTCCCTCGCCCATGCCCTCGCCCTCGCCTACGCCCAAGCCCTCGCCAAAGCCCTCGCCAAAGCCCTAGAGCTATGCTAAGCCTAAAATTCAATGCATTGGAGTTGGTTTTTAGGGGCATCAACCCTGAGATCATACAGTAAATTTGTGACACTGATCAAATTATACTTACTATTATATGAAGGTGCTGAATACTCATGAAATGTTAGGGGTGGTGGGGTAACCTATCGGTTAACGCGTTCGCCCGTCACGTCGAGGACCCGGGTTCGATTCGCCACATGGGTGCAATGTGTGAAGCCCATTTCTGGTGTCCTTCGCCGTGATATTGCTGGAATATTGCTAAAAGCAGCGTAAAACCATACTCAATCATTAACTCACTCATGAAACGTTAATTCAATGGCTATTGACACTGTTATTTCCTTGTTTCAGGGATACGGGGAGAAACACACATTTGTAGCCACACAAGGTAATATTCCCAGGCTTGCTGTTTCCTGTTTACAGTGCAACGGTTTTGGGAGGAAAGTGTTCCAGATGAAATGTGTGAACTGGCATCTAATTTCTTAAAACAATTTTCTCTCTACTTTTTCAGGACCTTATGGAGACGTTATTCGAGACTTCTGGAGGATGATATGGGAAATAGATGCCAGCAAAATAATCATGTTAACAAACTGTGTAGAAAACAGAAAGGTATTAATAGTGAGTGAGTAAGGTTTTGTGCCGTTTTTAGCAATATTCCAGCAATATCACGGCGGGGGACTCCAGAAATGGGCTTTACACATTGTACTTATATGGGGAATCGAACCGGTGTGACTAGCGAACACTTTAACCGACTTCAAATAATCTATTAAATAAGAACATGTAGATCAAGCCTTTGTAGTATGCAACTGCACTGATTGTTTGTGAGTCACAACAACTTTTTGCCCTTGAGTATATGATTAACACGTCCTCTTCATCTGTCTAGGTAACTGTGATAATGTTATATCTTATGTAATTGTAAACCCCGAAAACACTAAACTCCTTTTGGTATTTTCCTAATTTGTTTGTTTTTGCTGTGTATTGTTTTTAATATCATTTTATATTTTGTAAAATTGTTAGACCCCGCAAATATTCGAACGATGCACATATTGAAAAAATCGAATTATCTCCCTGGATGTTTTGTTCTACACACAATGCATATCTCTTTGCCTTCAACTCGCAGTAAAATTGCGTCAGGCTGCATGAGGTTTTCCCGAGAGGTGTTTTGGTTATGGAATAATATGGGAAGTCTTGTAGTGCACATCATTATAATATTGTGTGAATTATGTTATTATGAACTGATATTTATAAGAAGGACAGTATTTAAATACACGCACTCATTCAAATTTCCCAGGCAAAGTGTGAGAAGTACTGGCCGGACTTCGGCCAGCCAGGCTCTGACTATAACGATGTCCATGTCCAGTGTGTGGCCGAGGAGGAGCTGATGGACTACACGGTCAGGACGTTCTCTGTACACAGGGTAAGGATAAACTACACAGTCAGGACGTCCTCTGTATACAGGGTAAGGATAAACTACACAGTCAGGACGTTTTCTGTAGACAGGGTAAGGATAAACTATAGAGTCAGGAGGTTCTCTGTACACAGGGTAAGGATAAACTACACAGTCATGACGTTCTCTGTACACAGGGTAAGGATACACTACACAGTCAGGACGTTCTCTGTACACAGGGTAAGGATAAACTACACAGTCAGGACGTTCTCTGTACACAGGGAAAGGATAAACTACACAGTCAGGACGTTCTCTGTACACAGGGTAAGGATAAACTACACAGTCAGGACGTCCTCTGTACACAGGGAAAGGATAAACTACACAGTCAGGACGTCCTCTCTGTACACAGGGTAAGGATAAACTACACAGTCAGGACGTCCTCTGTACACACAGGGTAAGGATAAACTACACAGTCAGGACGTTCTCTGTACACAGGGAAAGGATAAACTACACAGTCAGGACGTTCTCTGTACACAGGGTAAAGGATAAACTACACAGTCAGGACGTCCTCTGTACACAGGGTAAGGATAAACTACACAGTCAGGAGGTTCTCTGTACACAGGGAAAGGATAAACTACACAGTCAGGACGCTCTCTGTACACAGGGAAAGGATAAACTACACAGTCAGGACGTTCTCTGTACACAGGGAAAGGATAAACTACACAGTCAGGACGTCCTCTGTACACAGGGAAAGGATAAACTACACAGTCAGGACGCTCTCTGTACACAGGGTAAGGATAAACTACACAGTCAGGACGTCTCTGTACACAGGGTAAGGATAAACTACACAGTCAGGACGTTCTCTGTACACAGGGTCAGGATAAACTACACAGTCAGGACGTCCTCTGTACACAGGGTAAGGATAAACTACACAGTCAGGACGTCCTCTGTACACAGGGTAAGGATAAACTACACAGTCAGGACGTCCTCTGTACACAGGGTAAGGATAAACTACACAGTCAGGACGTTCTCTGTATACAGGGTAAGGATAAACTACACAGTCAGGACGTTCTCTGTATACAGGGTAAGGATAAACTACACAGTCAGGACGTTCTCTGTATACAGGGTAAGGATAAACTACACAGTCAGGACGTTCTCTGTACACAAGGTAAGGATAAACTACACAGTCAGGACGTCCTCTGTACACAGGGTAAGGATAAACTACACAGTCAGGACGTTCTCTGTACACAGGGTAAGGATAAACTACACAGTCAGGACGTTCTCTGTACACAGGGTAAGGATAAACTACACAGTCAGGTCGTCCTCTGTACACAGGGTAAGGATAAACTACACAGTCAGGACGTTCTCTGTACACAGGGAAAGGATAAACCACACAGTCAGGACGCTCTCTGTACACAGGGAAAGGATAAACTACACAGTCAGGACGTCTATCTGTACACAGGGAAAGGATAAACTACACAGTCAGGACGTCCTCTGTACACAGGGTAAGGATAAACTACACAGTCAGGACGCTCTCTGTACACAGGAAAGGATAAACTACACAGTCAGGACGTTCTCTGTACACAGGGTAAGGATAAACTACACAGTCAGGACGTTCTCTGTACACAGGGTAAGGATAAACTACACAGTCAGGACGTCCTCTGTACACAGGGAAAGGATAAACTACACAGTCAGGACGCTCTCTGTACACAGGGAAAGGATAAACTACACAGTCAGGACGCTCTCTGTACACAGGGTAAGGATAAACTACACAGTCAGGACGTCCTCTGTACAAAGGGTAAGGATACACTACACAGTCAGGACGTCCTCTGTACACAGGGTAAGGAGAAACTACACAGTCAGATCGTCCTCTGTACACAGGGAAAGGATAAACAACACAGTCAGGTCGTCCTCTGTACACAGGGTAAGGATAAACTACACAGTCAGGACGTCCTCTGTACACAGGGTAAGGATAAACAACACAGTCAGGTCGTCCTCTGTACACAGGGAAAGGATAAACTACACAGTCAGGACGCTCTCTGTACACAGGGTAAGGATACACAACACAGTCAGGACGTCCTCAATACACAGGGAAAGGATAAACAACACAGTCAGGTCGTCCTCTGTACACAGGGGAAGGATAAACTACACAGTCAGGACGTCCTCTGTACACAGGGTAAGGATACACTACACAGTCAGGACGTCCTCTGTACACAGGGAAAGGATAAACTACACAGTCAGGACGCTCTCTGTACACAGGGAAAGGATAAACTACAGAGTCAGGACGCTCTCTGTACACAGGGTAAGGATAAACTACACAGTCAGGACGTCCTCTGTACACAGGTTAAGGATACACTACACAGTCAGGACGTCCTCTGTACACAGGGAAAGGATAAACTACACAGTCAGGACGCTCTCTGTAGACAGGGAAAGGATAAACTACACAGTCAGGACGTTCTCTGTACACAGGGTAAGGATAAACTACACAGTCAGGACGTCCTCTGTACACAGGGAAAGGATAAACTACACAGTCAGGACGTTCTCTGTACACAGGGAAAGGATAAACTACACAGTCAGGACGCTCTCTGTACACAGGGAAAGGATAAACTACACAGTCAGGACGTCCTCTGTACACAGGGTAAGGATAAACTACACAGTCAGGAGGTTCTCTGTACACAGGGAAAGGATAAACTACACAGTCAGGACGCTCTCTGTACACAGGGAAAGGATAAACTACACAGTCAGGACGCTCTCTGTACACAGGGAAAGGATAAACTACACAGTCAGGACGTCCTCTGTACACAGGGAAAGGATAAACAACACAGTCAGGACGCTCTCTGTAGACAGGGAAAGGATAAACTACACAGTCAGGACGCTCTCTGTACACAGGGTAAGGATAAATTACACAGTCAGGACGTCCTCTGTACACAGGGTCAGGATACACTACACAGTCAGGACGTCCTCTGTACACAGGGTAAGGATAAACTACACAGTCAGGACGTCCTCTCTACACAGGGTAAGGATACACTACACAGTCAGGACGTCCTCTGTACACGGGGTAAGGATGAACTACACAGTCTGGACGTTCTCTGTATACAGGGTAAGGATAAACTACACAGTCAGGCCGTTCTCTGTATACAGGGTAAGGATAAACTACACAGTCAGGACGTTCTCTGTACACAGGGTAAGGATAAACTACACAGTCAGGTCGTTCTCTGTATACAAGGTAAGGATACACTACACAGTCAGGACGTCCTCTGTACACAGGGTAATGATAAACAACACAGTCAGGTCGTTCTCTGTACACAGGGTAAGGATAAACTACACAGTCAGGACGTTCTCTGTACACACGGTAAGGATAAACTACACAGTCAGGACGTCCTCTGGACACAGGGTAAGGATAAACTACACAGTCAGGAGGTTCTCTGTACACAGGGAAAGGATAAACCACACAGTCAGGACGCTCTCTGTACACAGGGAAAGGATAAACTACACAGTCAGGACGCTATCTGTACACAGGGTAAGGATAAACTACACAGTCAGGACGTCCTCTGTACACAGGGAAAGGATAAACTACACAGTCAGGACGTCCTCTGTACACAGGGAAAGGATAAACTACACAGTCAGGACGTTCTCTGTACACAGGGTAAGGATAAACTACACAGTCAGGACGTTCTCTGTACACAGGGTAAGGATAAACTACACAGTCAGGACGTCCTCTGTACACAGGGAAAGGATAAACTACACAGTCAGGACGCTCTCTGTACACAGGGAAAGGATAAACTACACAGTCAGGACGCTCTCTGTACACAGGGAAAGGATAAACTACACAGTCAGGACGTCTCTCTGTACACAGGGTAAGGATAAACTACACAGTCAGGACGTCCTCTGTACACAGGGAAAGGATAAACTACACAGTCAGGACGCTCTCTGTACACAGGGAAAGGATAAACTACACAGTCAGGACGCTCTCTGTACACAGGGAAAGGATAAACTACACAGTCAGGACGTTCTCTGTACACAGGGTAAGGATACACTACACAGTCAGGACGTCTTTTCTACACAGGGAAAGGATAAACTACACAGTCAGGACGCTCTCTGTACACAGGGAAAGGATAAACTACACAGTCAGGACGCTCTCTGTACACAGGGAAAGGATAAACTACACAGTCAGGACGTCCTCTGTACACAGGGTAAGGATAAACTACACAGTCAGGACGTCCTCTCTACACTGGATACACAGGGTAAGGGAAGTGGGATAAACTACACAGTCAGGACGTCCTCTGTACACAGGGTAAGGATAAACTACACAGTCAGGACGTTCTCTGTACACAGGGTAAGGATACACTACACAGTCAGGACGTCCTCTGTACACAGGGTAAGGATGAACTACACAGTCAGGACGTTCTCTGTATACAGGGTAAGGATAAACTACACAGTCAGGCCGTTCTCTGTATACAGGGTAAGGATAAACTACACAGTCAGGACGTTCTCTGTATACAAGGTAAGGATAAACTACACTGTCAGGTCGTTCTCTGTATACAAGGTAAGGATACACTACACAGTCAGGACGTCCTCTGTACACAGGGTAATGATAAACAACACAGTCAGGTCGTTCTCTGTACACAGGGTAAGGATAAACTACACAGTCAGGACGTTCTCTGTACACACGGTAAGGATAAACTACACAGTCAGGTCGTCCTCTGGGCACAGGGTAAGGATAAACTACACAGTCAGGAGGTTCTCTGTACACAGGGAAAGGATAAACCACACAGTCAGGACGCTCTCTGTACACAGGGAAAGGATAAACTACACAGTCAGGACGCTATCTGTACACAGGGAAAGGATAAACTACACACTCAGGACGTCCTCTGTACACAGGGAAAGCATAAACTACACAGTCAGGACGCTCTCTGTAGACAGGGAAAGGATAAACTACACAGTCAGGACGTTCTCTGTACACAGGGTAAGGATAAACTACACAGTCAGGACGTTCTCTGTACACAGGGTAAGGATAAACTACACAGTCA